GGAGACGGAGTCGCAGGTGGGCCCCCGAAGCAGCCGGTTTCCTGCGCAAATTTTGTAAAGTTCTCGAGACACTTAGGCCCGAGAAGCTTGTGGACAAAGTCGTGACATGACATTGTACCTCGTAGTCGACGCGTCTGGCGTGCGTGCAGTCGAAAGTGAATGAAGTGGAGAGGCGTTGTTTCCTCTCCACACGCACACTCCATGGAAGCGGCGAAGTTGTTGAAATGACGATGGCATGCAGCGAAGTTTCCGTGTCCCGTACGGGCTGAGATCAGTTTACGAAGTAGCCGCCGGGAAAGGGCAACCCGCGTGGCTTGCGTCGTCGCATGAGAAGACCCAGGTTACGATATCTAGGTGGACACGCTTCTTCCCACCAGTCGTCAAGAAGCGTTTGCCTGTTCCGGTTCATGAGCCGACGAACGTACGCCAACGTGACGGAGCCAGGCTGACTCTCTTTACTTGGCAGTTGTCGGAGGCCGGAGCGTGCAGCTCTATCGGCCTCTTCGTTTCCCTGTATCCCGGAGTGGGCTGGTATCCACTGGACCGAGACTCGAGCCTTTTCTGATAACGCTCTAAATTGGCGCACGTCGTCGAAACTTGTTGTGGCAGTTCCCGTCAGCAGTGCCTTCACTGCTGACTGACTATCCGTCAACACGTTGATCCGCCGCCTGCCGTCGCTTCCACTGTTCTCCCTCTCCAACAATCCCAGCGCAGCTTTCAGGGCCTTTCTCGCCCCTACAATTTCCGCATCAAGCACTTCACCACCATGCTTGATGCCGCATCCCTTCAACAGAGTTTTTCCATCTCTCTTCAAGACGAACCCCCATGCTGAGCGACCATGGCCCTCCGACGATCCATCCGGGTAGGCAATATCCGATGCTAGTACATCTCCAAGGAACCGAGTAACCTTTTCCTCCTCCTCTTTCCTTGGGCCAGAGCTCGAAAAATAGCATGGCGGCGGCAGAGGCTCGGCGTCTTCCGCGTCCAGGAGTTGACGGTAGGCCCGCTGTACTCGTGACATCTGGATCCCCGGATTCTTGGGTACCCGAGCAGACTTCTTGTACTTCCGTGTTCCAACGTTTGGACACACGCCGGCACGAGTCCGGAGCGGATGTCGGTTGTCTAGTGAGTGCAGTCGAGCCGAAAGCCGTAAGCGGTTCCCTTCCAGAATGATCTTTGCAGTTGGGATACCTCCTTCGCGATGGAGAACAAGATTAGATGTCATTCTCATTACCGGAAGGGCAGCGCGCAGTCTTGTCAAGATTGCCTTGTCAATCATCTCGCAGAAGATGCTGGTTCGAGGTGTGATGATCCCCCTAATAGTCAGACGTTTGAGGCCGGGCCACCAAACATCTGATCCAAAAGTTGCTATTGGAACAATATAAGTATCCACTGCTCGAACCAGTGCCGCAGGAGCGGCTCCTCGATACGCTGAGTTGAAACGGCGCATGTGCTGGGTAACCTTCAACGCCTTTCCACACCAAGTTGTGACATGGTATTTAAAGTCCAGTCGCGGGTCTAGATATACACCAAGCCAGCGTATTTGGTCTGCTAGTTTGATAGTCACGCCGTTCACACGAATAGCCACCGGATTCTCGCGTTTCCTGCCGGGAAACTGGACTATCTCCGACTTGTTAGTATCGAAAGAGACTGCGTTGTTACTTGCCCACTCCAGAAGATGATCGACTTCCTTCTGTACAGAAGTGGCCGACTCAGCAATGCTGCGCCCGAACCCTGGGATCCCGACATCGTCTGCGTAGCTGAACCTCATTCCTGGGTTGCCGCTTCGCATAGGCTCTGCCATGTATAGAAGGAAGAGAAGTGGCGATATTGGTGATCCCTGCGGAACCCCACAAACCAGCTCTCTCTGCCCGGTTACCCCTCCAGAGTATCGGACTTGTACCTTTCGATGTGCAAGAAATGAAGCCGTCCATCGAAGAATCGAGTCTGGCCACCCCTGCTCTTGCATCCTCCTCACCAAACGGTTGTGGAGTACTGCATCGAATGCGCCTTGGACATCGAGAGTCGTGAATGTGGCCGCCCATCCCTGGGTGCTTGCCTCTTCGATGTCGTGGACTACGCATTTGACAAGGTCGTTTGCCGACCTCTTAGGGAGCGCTCCGAATTGTTGGACTGGTGGTGGGTGAGTGAATTGCGCCACGGCAAGGGAGAACCTCGGAAAGTTTCCGCGCGTTACCCTAATCGGCGATGGCTCATGGTCCCATTTTCCGCATCCGGTGGGACTTGTCCTCGAATCGGAAGATGGTCGCTGGTTACACACTCGCTGCGACCCACCCATGCTTGGGCCCCGTTGATGTTGGTCCAGGCAAGATCCAGCGTGTTTCCGGCTCGATGCGCTGGCTCGCCCACAATCAGACAAATTAGATTGTGGCGTTCCGCCCATCTCTCGATTTCGATTCCTTGTCCGCGTGGGCGGGCAGCATCGTGTTGCCATGCGCGGTGCACCGCGTTGAAATCGCCAGCCGCGACGGATCGTGGTGGTGGGTCCCAGCTGAGGAGTGGTCGAATGGCCGTCGGGTCGTTCGGGTCTTTGTACACGTTGAGAAACGTGACTCTGTTTACCACAACCCAGCAGTAATCCGTCGTCGGGGGATGGCAGGGAAAGATTTGTCTTGCCGAAAGGTTCCCTGTATTGATTTGTGTATAAGTCACAGCCCTGGGTCGAATGTTTAGGCCGCCATGTGGTATATGACAGTCGTATCCAGGGTGTGACTTTGTTTCCTTTGTGGCTTTTTTCCACGAAGGTTCTTGTATTAACACTACATCGACGCCTAGCTCGTAAGCTCGGGAAAGCGCGATGTCGTGTGATAAGCGTCCCCTACCTACGCTGATCGACATAAAACTTGTTGTAGGTGGGAGGCTGGAAGGGACCCGTGAAGGGCCCTTCAGGAAGACTCAACAGGATTCGTCGTTCCTGTGGTCGTGGCGTCGGAGGCGACGTCGGTCATCAGAACTTCGAAACTGTTGTTTGATTTCACCACTTCGGGTGAGGCTTGCTTTTGCTTGGCAGCCGCTTGTACTGCTGCCTCAGCGCGACGGGTTGCAGCTTTAGCCCTTATAGCTGCAGCTAGCTCGCGTTGGCTGGCCATGCGAATGGTAGCCAATTGCTCTTTGCTTACAGGCCCTAACTTGGTTGGGCGCGCCAGGTAGAGTCGACTGTCGGACCTGTGTGGTCCTCCGCAGTTGCGGCACTTGGTGTGAGCACGGCACTCGTCTGTCGAGTGCATCGTGGAGGTGCAGTTCCCACAGGCTTGAGCGTGAGAGCAACCGCGCGTTCAATGGAACTGCAGGCAGCGTTTGCATTGCTGCACAGTCTGTCGCGGCTTGTGTGGGACCGCGACACCCGAGTCGTCGAACGGGCGGAATCCTTGTCTTGGTGCTGCTCCCTTCCTGAAATGGGCAAGCCATGACTGGTATGGAGCGTCAAGGCGAGTTTTCCCGTCGGGCCGTACCTTGACTAGCACGGCCTTTGTGACTCGAGTGATCTCCTCGATCACCATCTCCTCCGTCACTTGCACCCTTCCAAGAAGAGTGCGGATAGCGACGGGTACCGTCGAGATCTGGAGCGCCACGAGGTCGGAGGCCCCCTCTAGTCTTCCTCCGATGGGAATAAAAGATTCCGACGCTTTCAATAGGAGCTTGCGAGATTCCAGGTTCTTCGCTCTGAGTGCGAAGCCAGTTGGGACACGGTAGACGTGTTCAATTGCTGCCTGAGGCGCGTTGGTCAGCTGCGCCACCGCTTCTCTGATGCCAGCTGGCGAAAGATTTCGCCACTGATGTTTTGATTTTAGCCGGAGGAACAGTCGGTTGTCCGGCGAGGACGAAGGAGCCGTCTTGGCCGATTTTTTGGTCAGCGGGGTCGGCTTTTTCGGGGCACCACTTGCTATCACTGGCGTCGGGTGATTTGGTAACTCATTCCCGGCTACAGTTGCCCAGGTTGGAGTTATCTGGGGGACCGCGACGGCAGGCTTTGCCGGCCTGACGGTCGACGGTGAGAGTGTCCCGCTGCTGCTGACCTGCTGGCCGATGGGGCGGGGGGGAAGGCTTGTCGGCACTGGTGTGGTTCCAGTGCGCAGGAAGTGGGCGAGGGCGCCCCTCAGACACACGTTCATCGCGTCCAAGTATTCTTTGTTATCTGTCGTTTTCATGGACAGGATAACACTTTCCAATGTTTTTAACACCGTTGACCCTATCTCGAGCCTGGCTGAGGTGTTTGCAGCCCGCTTTCTTTCGGCTTCGAGTAAAGCCTCTATTTCCGGCGGGTGAATTGGCGTGGTGCCGGTGGGAGCACCACCAGAAGAGTAGTTGTGGCACTCAGCCGTCCCTGGAATCGAGGCCGGGGGTGGCTGAGGTCTTGGGGCATTTGCTGCCTCTGTGCAAGTGGGGACTTCCGTTCCCGTCGGTATGCTTTTGATTGATGTCCGCTTTACTACGGGAACAGCAATTTTTCTAGCCGCACGGCGTGCGGGCTCGGTCGTTGGTTTCGTCGAGACTGCTTTCTCGACGACAATTTCTGGGGTCTTTACCGCCTCTAGGGAGCTCTCAGCTCCTGCGCTTGCCCATCGTGAGTCTTTTAGACCCTTGTTTATCAATTCATTGATTATTTTTTCGGCTTCCAACATCACAGTGTCGGTTTGGCCGCGTTCCTCCAATTGTGAGATAATGTCGACTTCCATCTGGTCGAGATCGGAGGCGTTAGCTACCAGTCCAGAGCCTTTCATTCTCTGACCTGCCACGCTTCTAAATATTTCACGCATGGATTTCGGGGTATCCAGACTTGTCTGGTGGTTGTGTTTCCCTATTTTGGAGGTTAACACAGATTTCGCGATTTTCGCGGACTTTGAGGGTACCGGTGCCATTTCAAGGCTGAGTGGCGCGGTACCACGAGAAATTGATCTTTCGATATACGACGAGTGATTGGAGGGGGAAATTGGGAAAAAGAGAATTTTCAAATTTTCGAATTTTCGAGTCGTGCGGGTTGTTTGTCTTCTATTTTTCGTCCGTCGGGGCGCCAAGCTTGACTTAGGGCTCTACTACCCACTAAACTACCTAGAGGCATAGACGCCAGTGCTTACTGCCCTGGTGGCTTCGCACTTGCTACTTCCTAACTAGGCTTGCAGGGCAATTCTCTAATTACATGATTGCGTTTAGCATAGCACCTGCACTTTTTCAGCCAGTCCCCGAGGCTCGTTATGTTGAAATAGGTGCTTCAAATTATGGTAAAGACAGGGATGTGTAGAAGACACGTCACTAATCTCCCATTAATTGTGAGGTTAGTATTAATGCGCTTTGACGTAAATACCAACCACTAGATTTTATTATTACAAAATATAGTTTATATAGCACTCTGTGTCCTAGTGAGAGTAATTAACAACTCTCCACGACAGATTTACAGACTCCTTTACTTTCCCACTCGCTTCACCAAGTGATACAATCTGTGCCTAACAGCCACAAGCTTTTGCAAACCAATCCGCTCAACACTTTACTCATTTGATGTATAACATACACTCTCGAGATACTACTAATAGATCCATTCAAATATACCGCACCATCCATCCATAATGCAAGGCTCAGAGTTGGGGCAGAGTTGAAGACCTATTTATTTCTTCTCTGGGGTTTCTAGGGCAGGTCTTTATGTAAAACTCTGAAATAGAAAGCCACTTTGCTACACGTAGGGCCCCTTCCCAGGTTCCTAGCAAAATATTCTTTGGGTCCCTTGAAGATGCTGGAGCTCGAGGAGGTCTGTGAGTGGTTGGGTGGCACTCTAGGAAGTGCAATGGGGCTTTGAGCTGTCCGCAGCCACAATGAAGGTTAGCGCCCTCGTGATTGAAACGGCGGTGGTACTCTGCAAAGTCACCCTGTCCTGAACCGGCAGCGTATAGTCTAGAGAGAAATGGTCTGGCTAGTGTGAGTTCCTTAGGGTTACGAGAGTATGAGTCAATGGCAAGCTCCCCATAGGATACTGGGGCATGTCGGTCCCAGTAGTCTTTCAAAGCCGTCGATACTTCTGCCTTGATGCAATTTTTCGCGGTATCAAAAGAAACGTACCCACGGAGTACAGGCGGGGTTTTTGAAAGCCCCTCCCGGGCAGAGGCGTCGGCCAAAACGTAACCCAATATATCAGAGTGGCTTGGGATCCAATAAGCCTTGACTTTCCCGGGTGGATCACGCTCGATGGTTCCTGTAAGGGAGGAATGTGACAGTGCGCCTCTCTTTTATGCCAGCGCGTGACATAGTAGGCCTCTTTCAGATTTGAGATTTGCTCTACTTTGTTGTGCAAGAATACCCGCTTTGATCTCCTCACTACTTTGCCAAAGGCACGTCGTTCAGAAGTTGCTGACAGACCCGCGCGCCGAGCTCTGCATGTAAAAAGCCCATCTACTACAAATTAAAGGGGGACTATTCTCAACACCTGTCAGTGGTGTCCCCTACGAACCTCTTGCTCTCACTGTAGAGTCTGCAGAGCCGAGATTGAGTAACAAAGTTCTCACTTCGACGAGGATTACCAATCGCTTTCGCGGTCTATATCGTCTTCATCTCTCAACACATCCCCCCTATCACCACTATCATGAAGCTAACCACGATCAGATCAGATGATAGGGTCGGAGCCCTACTCATCACCAACCCTTGATCATGGAGGAGAAGCCATCCGATGAGTTTCCCAAGCGTGCCCAGTACCCGATACGGACATGGTGGATTGGATCAAGTCGGCCTCGAATGTTACAAACAAGGGACATATAGATTGATTTGCGTACCACATGTGGTCCCGGTGTCTAGGCATCGCCTGGCTGAGGCTGTAGTTTGAGACTTTTTCCCGCGCACGCAGTTTCCATTGCTACCATTTTTTTTGGGTAGACGGTTCCGTGGAAAAAGTGGCCGAATTCTACGGGTAAATACTGAGCTGAATGGCTATTCGTCAAGAGCAATATATCAATGATCTTACGAGAAACATGAAGAGCAAGGAGCACTGTACAAGTTGTGATATGGGTTAGAGAGAAGCCCAATGTGCTGGATAGTCTAAAACTGAAGTGGTACAATAAAAACACACAACCACAATTTTTTGAAATTCGAATTTTCGAATATTCACCCTTTCCCCTTCTCCCTCCCTCTCTCGATATCGTGATATCGTACGCCCTTAATTTAAAATTTGTGAGCGACTGGCAGGCTACCAATATGCCCCCAGTTCGCAGTAAGCCATCGCGGGCGAAAGACATCGTAGATAACCGCAAGCACCTCAAACACGTTGCTCGACAGAAAGCAAGCGTCAAGTTGGGCCCACTGACTGCCGTTCAAGAGATGAACATCTACCAATTAATCGACGAAAGTACCATAGATTGCGATATGATAGATGTTGGCAACTTTGACATTGACAAGATTCTTAAGAATCTGAAAAGACTACCCAACTCAATTCACTCCAACCCAGATGCGACCGGAGCTGAAAATGCAGCGACGAGTCGTAACAATTTTGGGACAGCGACTATCGGACAGCATATACTTCCTCTCATTGAAGTCGATGTGCCGGCTATGAGGCGGCCTGCGATTGCAGATGCTAACAAGGCAAAAGGCGCAGCATCTACCCCGAACCCTCTGGAACATACACCAGGAACCACAGAAAAGAATCCTTCTCCCAACGGTGGAAATGAAGGCAGGCAGACGGAGGAATGCTCCCCCGAACTCAGAGCCTTAATTGAGGCTGAGGAACGCCGGGCCACAAAAACTGCTGAAAATGTAAAAATTTGCATCGCTGCAATAAACGGTGTCGAGAATGCTCTCTCCCCCCTATCCAAAGGGTCGAGTGTTCAATTTGTAGACTCTATGAAAGTCTACATTAGAGCTGCAATAGCTCAATTCATGATACCGGGACCGGGTACAGTCCTCCCAGTACTTCCCTCGCGCCCTGAAACCCAGGCTACTGGCAGCAAGATTATAGAACGTGCCGCCAAAAAGCAGGATGAGCCACAAAGTAAAGTGACTCATGATAAAGTCTCCAAGGCCAAAACCACTTGGGCCTCAATCACCTGCACCGGTATAAAGACTCCCCCGGCAGCTACAAAAATCGCGCAGGCTATGCCAAAGGTGGCAAACTCGACGCGACCTTCAAAAAACCCGACCGTCCCAACGCAATCAGGCACCAAAGATGAACGCTTGTTTCTTCGCCTTGGAAATTAACGCCCTTGGAGAAAGCTATCACCGTTTGGTGTTAGAGAGGCTGTGACAAAAGTGCTTGAAATTCCTCAAGCCAATATTGAGCACGTATACCGTGTTCCAACTGGCTTCGCAATTAGAGCCGAAAACCAAGAGGCACGCGCCATCATGTTAAGCCTAGCTGGGTCCCTCATCCAGCAAGATGCCATACTGGAAGAAGCATCGGACCTGGGCTCACTTAGAATCGCAACAGTCCCAGTTGCCATTAATACAATAATGGGTAGAGTAATCGTCACTGAAGAGATGGTAACAGACGAGATAGTCAGGGTCACCAAGGCTGTTCCGGTAAAAGTTCGCCCACATGGGAAAAGCCGACTTGGAGCCCCATACCAGTCATGGGTAGCCGTTTTCGAAAAAGCATCGATCCCTCGGCCAGGTTTCCGACTTTTCGACGACTCTGAGATTGCAGTCCGCCACCAGCCTCGTCAAAGCATTAACCAGTGCAAAAGATGCCTACAATTCCATGGCGCCAGAGGCTGCTCGCGCGCCTCAGCCTGCTGGAATTGTACTTCAACTATGCATTCCATCGCGGAGTGCAAGGCACACACCAAGTGCCGCAACTGCGGAGGTCCACACAGGTCAGATAGTCGGGACTGTCTAGCTCGTCCTACAAAGTCTGGGACGGCCTCCAGGGTAAACCTACAGACCATCAGGCAGGCTAGCAAACGCGAATTCGCGGCAGTTACTCGGGCCGAAGCAGCTGTCAGACGCGCAGAGGCAGCGATGACAGCAGCCGCAGAAGCGTCAAATACTAACCAGCCAGGTTTTAAATCGAGCAACTGTTTTGAAGTTCTCATGTCCGACGCTACAGCAACTGTAGCCGAGGTCGATGAGGCATCAAATCAGCAAAAATCTTTGTGAAGGGCACCCCACGGGTCTCTTCGAGCCTCTCTCCTACTCTAAGCTTTATGTCAATAAACGTAGGTAGAGGGGGCTCAACGCAAAACATTGTGCTTGCCCGAGCATTTGAGCTGGGTATCGACGTGGTTCTTGTTCAAGAACCTCTGTGGAATAAACAAAAGAACACAACAAAGGATCACCCAGGATATACCTATCATCTGCCTAACGGCGGCGAAAATGTTAGGCCGAGAGCAGTGACCTATACCCGGATAGACGATAAAAAGATATCGGCAACACAGATCTTTCCTTATGTTGTGTCTATAGGAGACTATTGCTGGGTTGAAGTGAACGGTATTACTTTTCTCAACGTCTACAAAGCACTCAATGACTCGACAGCTATCCAGCCACTCATCAACTGGATTCCACCGCCAAACTCCGTCGCTGCTGGGGACTTTAACTCTGTATATTGGGCTTGGCAACCTGGCGAGGAACGTCCTCATGGACAAGGAGAAATGATCGAGAAATGGGCAGACAAACACCATTTGACCTGTCATATTATTGGGAGCCCACTCACCGAGCTAGAACTCGCTAGATTTAGTTTGGAGTAATATCGACGGCGCCCGTGCTTGGGTAGATCGTGGTGGATGTGTCACCAGCGATCACTTCCCTATCCGAGGACAAATTCCAGTTCGCAACTCAGTGATGAGACCCGAAAAGGCAAAACTCCGAGTAACAAAGGAAAAGCTACCCAGATACGCCAAGGTAATTGCACAGTGGGTCTGACCACCACCAGTTCTTGACACAATCAAGAGGGTTGAAGAGTATGCCGAGGAAATTTGTTTCCATCTCACTAATGCAATCAATGCAGTAGGAACACGACCAAAAGCCCGCTGCGGCAGATCTGCTCCGTGGTGGACCCTAGAGTGCAAGGCAGCCTTCGCCGAGTACAAAAGCGCGATAACTCCCAGCCAGCGGGCACTCTGCGCGAAAAAGCTCCGATCAGTTGTGAAGACCTCGAAAAAGGAGTTCAAAGCCCAACAGGTCGAATCAATTACTACGCCGACTGATGTATTCAAGCTAATGAGAATGGATAACCCTAGACAGGCTAGTATCCCTCCGCCACTGAACCATAATGGGACGTTGATAACAGATCCATTAAAACGGGCCACGATCCTTCGCGACTCCCTCCTGGCACGATTTCAGGCACCAGATGACTTGTCACCATGTACAATCGCGAGCAGCAGTCGGATACCATGGGAAGAGGACGTAACAGATGAAGAGGTCCGAGCCTGTACCATTGGTTGCGGAAATACGGCCCCAGGAGTAGACGGAGTCTCCGTAAACTTGCTGGAGGCGTGTTGGAATACAATTGGGCCTTGGATTTCCCAACTGTTCCGAGCTTGCATTCTGCTTGGCACCCATCCAAAGTGTTTCAAATTAGCCGAGGTGGTCCTCCTTCAAAATAACGATAGAGACCCAACATCAATCAAGGGTTGGTGTCAGGAACTGAGGATAGAGGTTACCGGGATATAATGGTTGCCATGGGTTACGAATCGAGTAATCGAGTAGTAGAAGGTGGACTCTATGAGACCTAGGTTGCTCTGGTTACTATGATGTATATATGGATTGGACAGAGCCGCAGTAGAGGGCCACGTCTTGTCTTCCGTCTTCCACTGGCCTTGTCTCCGATCCTAGATTCCCTCGTCCCTCGTCCTTAGTTCTAGTGAAAATCACAAATTTATACCTTTGACTCTTGCCAACTTCCTCAGATATTTCCCAAGTCACTCAGTAACACTCCCGACGCTACCTTTGGCACTCTCGAGTTTGACAGGTGGAGACCAATCGCTCTTCTCTCATGCTTGGGAAAAGGATTAGAAAGGCTCTTAGCTAAGCGGATGGCACACCTTGCAGTTATCCATGATGTTGTCGGCCAGCAACAGCTTGGTGCACTGCCGAAGCGCACAGCAACGGATCTGGTCTCATGTGTGGTCCACGGCATCGAAGAGGCAAGTTCACAAGGATGGGCAGCTACTTTTGTAACGATAGACGTTCAAGGAGCATTCGACACGGTTCTCCATAATCGTTTAGTAAGGAGGATTGTCAAACTCGAGGGTACCAGGGGTTGTGTTTTATGGGTAACTTAGAAGTGCGAGTGATATCTGACAAGATTTATCATAGACTAAGGTATTAATTCGGGATTGTAGCTATGACTGAGGACAAGGGACAAGAGAAACTAGGACAAGAGACAAGGTCAATGGAAGACGGAAAACAAGACGTGGCCCTCTACATCGGCTCTACCCAGCCCATATATACATCATAGTAACCAGAGTAACTAAGGCTTCAAGGGGTGCGCCTGCTGCTATTCTATTACTTCATTTGTAACCCATAGCAATCATTGTAACCCGGTAAACGCTCTAAGATGAGAGAATATTCAGATGTAGTGTAGGGAAAGAATATGAGGGTGCTGCTCTATCCTCAGTTCCTGACAAGGATGCAGGAGCAGGGATGTCCGGAGTATATTCTCAAATGGACTAGCTCCTTCCTCGCCAATCGGATGGTTCAAGTGCGATACTCTGGGGGAGTCACTGCCAAAAGAGAGCTAGTGTGCGGAGTTCCACAGGGCTCAACGATCTCGCCACTTCTCTTCCTTCTATATATGGCAGAGCCCATGCGAAGTGGAACCCCGGGTCTGAGGTTTAGCTACGCCGACGATATTGGTATCCTTGGATTTGGCCGGACGATTGCAGAGTCTGCAGCCGCAGCACAGGACGAGGTCAATAACCTGCTAGATTGGGCTCGAAATAATGCCGTTGCTTTCGGTACAGACAATTCCGAAGTCGTACAATTCCCCGGACGATACCGCGAAACATCGATTGGAATTTATGTCAACGGAAGCCTCATAGAACCGTCGCAAAATGTCCGCTGGCTTGGTGTGGCAAAGCGTTGAAAATTGCACAGCACATGCGTCGCTTCAATACAGCCTACCGAGGAGCCGCTCCTGGGGCGTTTGTTAAAGCGATCGACACGTGTATTGTCCCAATTGCAACGTACGGAGCTAACGTCTGATGGCCTGGCCTTAAACGCCTAACAGTACGAGGGATGGTGACACCGCCCACTGCTGGCCTACGTAGTATGATTGATAAGGCTGTCTTAACGGGTCTTAGATCAGCACTACCGGTAATGAGGACAACCCCCAACGCGGTACTACATAGGGAAGGAGGAATACCAACCGGGAAAATCATTCTCGAAGGAAACCGACTTCGCCTCTCTGCCAGAATGCAAACACTTGACGACCGCCATCCGCTCAGGATCCGTGCTGCAGTTTGCCCAAATGTCGGTACGCGAAAATATAAAAAGCACAATCGAAAATCTGCGCGTCCTGAAATTCAAATGTCACGGGCTCAGCGTGCTTATAGACAGCTACCAGAGGCAGAGGCCGCGGAACCTCTTGCCCCACCATTTTATCAATCGCGGCCGGGTTCGAAGTTTGGTTCGAGAAAAGACCAAATAGAAGCCTGTAAACTTTGGATCACTAATGTGCCAAAGTCAGAAATCTGTGCTTACTCGGACGGAGCATCGGAGGGAAAGGGACGCTCAGCTTGGGGGTTTTTCCTAAAGCTGGATGGGAAAACTTTTCAAAAAGGAAGTGGCATAAAGCACGGTGGAGAGGCTTTAGATGCAGAGATTACGGGGGCACAGAAAGCTCTTAAAGCAGCGTTGGGTCACCTAAGAGGGAAGGATAACCTGGCGAAGGGAACGACGCAGTGTATTAATGTGTTGATGGATAGTCGACATGCGATAAATGCACTGAGCACGGGCAGGTCCTCGACCCGACAGCTGGTGGAATGAAACCTGCCCGTCACGGTATCGGGAGCTAGATCTGCTCATGCGCCGTCGTAAACCACCAGAACTGGGGCTTTCCAGGCTACAGTTACGACATCTCATTGCAGCCCGTACGGGCCACGGTGATTTCGCGACGTACCATCGTCGCTTCAACAATCCGCACGCTATTACAGAGTGCATCTGTGGGGAGGAAACCACCCCTACCCACTTCATACATTGTCGACTCAACGCAAACATCACGCGTCGAATCAGAGGGCCATTGTTTCAAGGTGCCTTCCAACATAAGCTACTCGGGCCTAAGTGCTTCGAGAGCTTCAAACAATTTGCGCAGGTTACCAATTTTTTTGGGTATTCTCCTGTGCATCCATCTCCTACTCTCAGTGGAGATCGAATATAACTCGTCAGGAAACTAAACCTGACAAAATGGGAATCGAGGCGAGGAGTATTGCTTCCCATTCTAAATTATTTGCAATTTATCTTTTTCTTTTGTTAATTTTGGGAAAAGGAGTTCGCGTCGGCGCATATTCTTAACTTACTGCTGGTTTTGTGGTGGTTCATGCGGTGGAATCAAGCTGGGTATGTCTTAGATGTAGTTCTGGCTGTGAACATCGGTCCTGTACTCATAGTGGATTTGGAGCTTTAGCTTAGGACTTTAATAAAACAACAACAACAAATAACATACATACTACAAATTAAATCTATGTACTGCTAGTAAGGTCACATGACCTGACTACCTCAGCTAACATCAGTAGGTGCATTTCTTCCCCTCTTCAACAACCTATTATATATAAACTCAATTATTTCTGGAACTATCCATTATCACAAAATATATTTTGGAGAAAAAATGCCCGTTCAATTTGTCCCTCTCCAAAACGACCTCATTCTTCGGACAGCTTGGGGTAGGAAAAAAACTTGATTATTATGTATATAAGAAGCTAATACTTTGAATTAAACAGGCGAGAAGGTTGAGAGACCACCGATCTGGGTTATGCGGCAGGGTAGGACACTAGTCTTTGATCAAACTTTAAACTAATATTGCATCTCAGCTGGCCGATACTTACCAGAATACCATGAAGCCAAGGGCACACGCGACTTTTTCGAATGCTGTCGCTCCCCAGAGATTGCATCAACTCTAACACTGCAGCCTATTGAACGGTTTGCAGGTTTGATTGACGCGGCCATAATATTCTCGGACATTCTAGTGATCCCTCAAGCTATGGGGATGCTAGTTGAGATGCTTCCTGCTAAGGGACCGCATTTTCCGAAGCCGCTACAGTCTCCTGATGACCTACAGTACTCTGAAGTTTTGAATAAGAAGGTCAATGTGTCATCTGAATTACAATATGTATATGAGGCTATAACTATGACCCGACACAAGCTTATGGGGAGAGTTCCACTGATCGGATTCTGTGGTTCTCCTTGGACCCTTTTCTGCTACATGGTTGAGGGGGGAGGGAGTAAAATGTTCATTGAAACTAAAACTTGGATCTATAAACATCCAGAAGCCACCGAAAAATTGCTACAAAAAATTGCAGAAGTCTGTGTGGAACACTTGGCTCTACAAGTCCAAGCAGGAGCCCAAGTAAGTCGATCAACATTCTAGCTACCTTTGCCAACTTAACTCTATAGCTTGTACAAGTCTTCGATTCATGGGCAGCCGAACTTTCACCTGCCTCATTTAGAAGATTCTCACAACCTTTTCTCGAATTCATATCTAAGATGCTTCCACTCAAGATTAAGACCTTAGGTTTGGACCCTGTACCAATGATAGTATTCGCTAAAGGTGCCTGGCATTCTCTTGATTCCCTATGCAATATTGGGTACCAAGTAGTTGGACTGGATTGGTTGCAAGACCCTTCAGAAGCTATTAAGTTAAGAGGGTCAAGACCTATCGTTTTCCAAGGAAATGCAGACCCTGGTGTCTTATACGGATCCCATGAATCGATCACAAAAGTTGTGGAGGACATGGTGAAGGGTTTTGGTGGAGGAAAGCAGGGTTGGATAGTTAACCTTGGGCACGGTAGCTTACGAAGCAATCTCTCCACTGATTCAAGTCTAACTATCCGCAGGAATCACTCCTCGCGTCAACCCGGAAGACTTACGTTTTTTTTTCCAGGAGATTCGTCGTCTAACTTAAAGGCGAACTTTCAGCAAGAAAATTCAGTTGGTCAGGTCTTAAAAGGTGTTGGAAAATCGTTATGGGTTCGATGAGTAAGGCGGCTCAGAGAAAATGGGCGCGATATATGAATATAATGATGATATGAATAGGGAGAATATGTGATATAACGCGGAGAAATGAAAAATAGGTTGGACTAATTAATGAGATTGTCTGTCTTGGTGACCCCTGGACAGCTTATATACATGTATACTTGATAGACCAAATCCAAATCAGATACTATCCATCACTTGTTCCATACTCTAAAAATGACAATGAATCGCACGACAGTGTACAACATGAGTATGGGGTCATGGTCGATGGATGAAAGTCTACTCGGGTATCAAACAATACCATGCACTAGTTGAGTCTCAAGCATTAAACATGCTCAATAAAGGAGATATCAATCACCTTGGTCATGAGTCAGGTCGTGAGTCATGTGTGAGAAACTTAGCTGTTCCAATCAAGGGAAACTTCAGACATAGAATCTGAAATTCCGAAAAAGGCAGCCAGCTCTAAATATTGGGCTAATCATTTAGATATCGGTGGGTAACCCGGGCAATGACGTAGACTAACTATTGAATGTGCTTGAATAGACTCAATCTATAGCGATTCAGCTAAATTGACAAGTCTGTTGAAAATACGGAGTACAGAGATAGGTCATATGATAATCATTGGCAGTTATTGATGAAGGAAATACTTCTTGGGGTTACTATCATTTTTGCGTTAGGATACACTTTGTTGATCTTACTGTGCTCGATAACAAGTTATCTTGGCCAACTGGTGTTTGGCGTACGGAGATTGAGCATACCCCGTACTAGAGTTTATTTTCTCAATTCACAGCGTATTCAGCCATCTAGCTATGACACAAGACCGGTGCTAAAATTCCTGAATATTCGTGAGAGAATTGATTAGATACCCCGTTACCATTACCGCTCCCCTCCGAATTCTCACAGTTGCAAGACCCCGGATCTTCAACATGTCTCCGGGGCCTGCCAAATCATCGCAACCTATTCGCCTTCAAAGAACCATTGATAGAGCGAACACCAGGCTGGAAAAGCGCTTGGCAAAAAAGAATATACCATTGAGCTCGATAGACGGGCGAAAAATGGAGCTGGACATGACCGAAAGGATAAGAGCCTTCGAAGAAGACTAACTCCACGAACCCCGATGTCGAAATGGGTGATGCGATTGTTGACCGATATATCATGGAGGGACTTGAGAGCTCACGATGGAATATAAATGAACCCAAAGACGGTCAGGTCTTAGGGGCCCCGGTTATTATAGTCACGAGAAAGATTGCTGTGCCGGCCACAAAGCGGACAGCTAATGCAAACTTTAAAAAAAGTCGACGAAGTCGCGCCCACCTCAACACCTCAGAATGCCATTCCGGGGGCAAGTGGAAATAATCAATCTTCTTGCAGTGATACTAGCTCCAAGAACACTGCGACTTGTCCTCCCGAGCTTCGAGCCATACTTGAAGCTTAAGAACAGCAGGCAGCCCAGACCGCATTTAACCTTATAATATGCACCGCTGCCATCAACGGTGTGGAGAATGCACTCGCACCTCTATCCAAAGGGCCGAATGTTCAATTTATAGACTCCATGAAAGTATACCTCAAAGATGCAGTAGCTCAATTCATGTTGTCGGGACCAGGAACAGTCCTTCCCAACCTCCCCCCATGACTAAACTGCAAGAATCATTACGTAAAGATCGTGGAAAAAACGATACAAAAGCAGACAGAGCAGCTACAAAAATATAACCAGTCGAGGATAACTCCGGTCAAGCCTACCTGGGCAACAGTTACTCGAACTGGCCTCCACAAGCCGGCAGCACCTGTAAAAGATATACGGGTCCATAATGAGCCCTCCAGCAAAGGCTTCGAAAACTGCCCCCAAAGATGATTGTCGGTTTATCACCGGTTCTAGTTAATGTGCTAGCACAAGATTGGGCAAAATAGTTATTGATCAAAACATATATCTATATCTCTATATCTAACATGAATAATGAACGGAAGTAAACTCCAACGCCGCACTGACACCACGTGACTAATATCCGTAAATTTCCCCATAGCTTCTCTACCAACGCCAATATTCACACACTAACAACTCTTTAAATGATAGACAACTAACTTAAGAAAATTCAAAGGAAATAATTCATCCCAAAAATAATAGTATCAATTTTTTTATGCTTTTACTTCCGGTTTACCCATCCTTCAAGTCTGACTCTCAGTTCATTTTTCTCAATCAGTGTCCTTAGGGCTGAGGTTGCGTTTTCTTTTGTCATAGAGTCTGCTGGATTGTCTTTACCATTGATCCATCTGATCTCTGCTAGCTCTCTACGTTCATATGACTCACGTATTGCCATAACGTCAATTATTTGCCGTCTTTCTTTCGTTGTTCCAAGCTTCACTAGACATTCGTATAAGCTGCGACTGTCTGTACAGATTATTAATGTCACTACAGGTAGACTAAGTTGGCCCATAATCTGATTGACTGTCATGCAGAGTGGGATTGCAATATCAACACCATGAGTCATTGCATATAGCTCGGATGCTAGATCGGCTCGAGTCACTCGCTTGCACTTGGTTGAACTCCAATGAATGATATTGCCTCGAAAGGTGAATTCATTGTCTCCAAAATTCTCATTCCCAAGTGTGATTACGAAGCCTATCTGAGAGGTGAGGTCTTTGTTACTAGCAAATGAGCCATCAACCCAACAGTAAGCTTTCAGCTTATTCAAATCTAGGTTGATGTATTTTAATCCCATGCTGGGGTCGATTTTTTGTTCATGAAGGGCGTTATTGAGTTCCTTTATCTCCTGTTCTCCTGGCTCTTGATATTGAGCGGCTCTTGAAAATCTAAAGGCGACTAGTTGTTGACAATTTGATTAAATCTAGGCACCAAGCGCTCTTTGCCTCTTGTAAATATATATTTTATTTGGATCTTCTAGGTTGACTAACTTAATTTTCTTACCTTGACCGTTAGTTTGAATGTGCAAGGAATTGTCGCGAAGTGAGATCAGTAGACCATTAAATTGTAGTGGGTTGACATCAGATAAACGCTCAATAGGCTTCGCAGGGAATTTGGCCTCTGCCAGTTTGGCATACTCAAGTTCAAGTTATTGCTTATTTCCGAGAAAAAGCGTATCGTCGACTTGCATGCCTGTAATACTGAAAGGTTCATCGTGAGTCACAAGTAGACACGGATCAAAGCAGGATGACTTTAAGCTAAGCTCTTTTGTAAGGTATTTGATTCATGTGTCGAACCAATGGTTGCCAGCTTCTGGGATACCGTACAATGGTTTGACAACGTGCATGGCCGTATCTGAAGGTAGATCCATGGCTTTGATAATCTCTGAAGAAGGCCAGCAATTAAAATCTCTGACAAGATGAGTTCTTGACTGCGTGTACGCTTGCTGAATATCCCGAAGGAACAAAATTTGGCCATATTGCAAGATGAAGCAGATTGCAAAATAAAAAATGAGGCGTTGACTTGCTCTTTGTACAGTGGGTGACTGAGTCAGCACTAGAGACTTACCTTGATCGTTGAATGCTTGAACGACTAAACGAGATTTTTCAAAAGGCTTGAGCGTTTCCCTGCCCTTGATTGCCTTGAAAATTCTACATTTGTAGATTCATTTCCTCAGTAACGACCTATTCTAAGGTATGAAGCGGAAAACTTTACTAGCAATTAACCCTTTTATATCCTTTTTATTCGAGGCAGAGAACGGTGGTCCAGGTCTGGTAATTAGGCCTTTTGAGCGTAAATTTAGTGAAATCTGAATCGCTTCTTCATCCTGAGAAAGGTATACAGGAGTATGTAGCTCTGGGCAAGGTATCGAGTGATCATAAAAATAATATTGACCGACAAATCTTCCCTTTCTTTCGCTACGCCTTAGTGTATGCGGTGGCGTTAGTTCATTTTCGGGTTGTATTTCTGGACCTATCGGTGGCTGCAACAGCTGAATGTCATCGAGATTATTTGTAGCATCATTTTTTCAAACCACATTTTAACTGATGTCGATCGGAAGTTTTTCTTTTCTTCATTAATAATTACAGTGATTGTCTCACCCTCTTTGTTGTACAGCTCAAAAGGTCCTGTCCACTTGCACCTTGTATTCTTGCTTGCTTCATGCCACACTTTCACATAACCTCCGATGGAGAAATCTTCGAGGTGATGATGTTGTGGCCCGTTCCGCATATCTTTGGCTTGATTGACAAGTTGAGTGGCATGATATCTTTGAAGCTCATCCATCGCTTTACGCATGCTTTCCACCCTCTCTTAAGCCAATGGTGCTGGAGCGTCGTCCCAAGTAATCTGGGGATAAGCACCGAGCGCGCAAAGTGTAGGAAAAAGGCCATCCGGTCCTGCGGTATCATTGAGTGCCTTAACTGCCATCTTTAAAATTGAGTGCCGACCTATATTTTGTTCAGCAAATTGCTGCTTAAAAATTGAATAAGCACGACGAAGATCTCTGTGCACATGCTCGAATTTTCTAATAGAGGATGAGATTCTATGGGGACCTCAACTACGTGTGTTTCCCACCCCGTGGCGGTTGCACGAAATTCTGCGGACGCGAAATTCTTGCAGGCATCATGAATTAGATTTTCAAGTGGACCAATGTAGACGTTGTTCCAGCAGCGTTCAATTGAATTGCAAGTAGATATTGCTCCTTCTTTCTCATGCCACGTGAGGAAATCTGCTGATCCTAGGTTGGTCCCAGCGTCTAATAAATGTACAGCAGGGCCGTCTTCTAAGTGTAATACATCGACGTAGACGGTATGATTAAACGGTACATCTTTGTTAGTAAGTGTAAACTTGAAACGAAGGGGACGATTAGCATTTAACTGACAGTCTTCGCAGAACTTGGATATTTGATCGATTGTTTTAATGTCAATGTCGTGACCAGCTCGTCGGAAGATCTTCCACATTCTTGAAGCAGTAGGATGCCCCCATCTACGATGGCATGTTTTGATTTG